TGCTATTTGTTTTTGGTGCTCAACAAAAGATTTGTTTGGCTGCTATTTAAGGAATCAGGAAAGCATTTGTATCAAACTTTGTTCAATGAAGTCATCTGATGTCATTTTGCACATCTCAGATGTTGCTGCTATTTTCAAATCTCCTTTACTGTAAAAATGACCACAGCTGTATATTGGTTATTTATTCTCTAGGTGCATAGTTTTTATATTATTAGAACACTTTACAGTACTATATTTTATACTTTATCTTTTAACTCTTCACTATTGTCTTATACATTTTCTAAGGTCCACATTTGTTTGGCCATTTTTTTCTATAATCTTTTTATCGCTGTAAACACAAGAATTACCCCACTGCGGGACAATAAATGCATTTTCTATTCTGATTTTTCAAAGTCTTTCATGTTTTATGGAAATATAAAGAAGTGCGCATTTTAAAGTTTTATTTGACCTCAAGACAAATTTAAACTTTTAACGGGAAAAATCCCCCCAGCATAATGTGGATTTGTTGAATCTGGATCAATTTATTAATCAATGATTACCATCATTTACAGTGTTTTGGTTTGGGGAAAAAAGGGGAGATTTTTAATTGAATTAAAACATTTTCTGCCATGAAAAGGTATTTGCTCACTTTCAGGTTCTTTTATCTCCCTGATCATCAAATATTTGTTTCTTATGACACTAAAGAAGTAATTAATAGACATAGAAACAATTATTTTACATGAATGTAAGCCTGACAAGAACTACATTGATACAGAAATAAGAAAAAAACCTTTATCAGGTCCATCTTAATTAAAATGATTCCAATGTGGTTTAATTAGAACAACTCTGTGACAGTCGTTCAAAACTCCCCCACAGTGGATGTAAAACACTCCTTACCAACTGTGGCAGATTACATCCAGCTAGGCAGCTTTAAACACCTTATCAGTTATCTTTGTCTACTACTGAAATATACTTGTGGATATGACTGATTTACAGCCAGAAAAAAAATATTATTTATATAATGTTAAATTATGCAAAGTTTTTCTCATTCAACCAAAGAGTTCTGACTCTTAAAGTAATGAGAGGCACCTCTCTAAAGATGAGTGGATTCAGTCCAATACAGTTCAAAAATACTGTATAGATTCCAAATGGAAAATAATTATTAAATTAAATAAAACTAATTAATACAACAATAAATTAATTAAACAATATAAACTGAGTTTCAGTGTTAGAAAAAAAAACAACATTTGTTTGTATATAAATTTTAGGAATAAAAGTAGGATATTGATATTATTCATCCACTCTTCAATAATCAGCGATCAATACGTTTTTTTTTTTTTTGCATGTTTCTGCTGGTATTTTCATCGTGTATTTTACAGCAGCCGAGAAGTTTTCTTTGTCATTAAATCCCAATTTTCAGGTACCCTCCACAGTTTAGGTTGGCCCCTGATCAGGATGCTCCAAAATGCTGTTATAGCCTAAGAGCGAAGGACACATGGTAGTAAAATTTAAGATTATCTAGCTAAGATTATAGCTTGACTGTAAGTGAGACAGAAAGTAAAAAGGGATTCAAAGACACTCCTATTCTGTGTACTCAGATTATTATAAGTTTTTTGCAGAGCAGATGAAGAGATGTTAGTCTTTTGTTACTTTTTGTGGAGGAAGCTCTAGTGAAATGAACCTGATTTGATTTCACTTTAAAAAAGGTCCTTTTGCCAGTAAGATTTGGTCAAATGGATTTGATTCAACTAAAATTGAATAGTGGAAAAAAAGTTTTTTATCTATTTGAAAAAAATTAGAAAAAAGGTTGAAAATGTAAAATGATTCTGCAATCTTCGTAGCACAGGTTCTTCGCTGTGCCGTTAGATAATAAGCCTAATGACGTATCAAACGTTCTTTGCACTTTCAGTTACAAAACTGGTTGTTATGCGATGCAGAGCAGCAGATGTAACTGCATTGTAGTGACTGAACTGCTGTAGACAAAGAGATGCTGAGATCATGGTTAACAGATCTCTCTGCTGTGAGTAGAGAAGGCTTTTCATGTTATGGGTTTCCTCAGTCAGACACTTCTAGCCTGCCGTCTGTGCCACTTTTATTGCATTTAACAAGTCAGTCTGCTAAGTTAGAGGTTTCAACAATCTACTCATAGTCTTTTTGGATACAAATCAAATTTATAGAAGGATTTACTATTGGAAACCTACCTGAAAATGTATCTGAAATTTAAGAAAATTAAATCCCTCAAAGTCTGTATTAAACCGTAAAGGCAATATCTAACCAGTCTCTTACCTTGCCTCAGTTTGGTTGGCGTAGAAAATGTTAGCAAGAACAAAATATTTGGAGTATTGAGGAATAAACACTGTAAATCTGTCAATTTTATAAAATTTAGACCAAAACATCAAAAAAACAATATCTTTAAGCGGAAGCTGAGAGATAGAATCTCACCTCACACAGAGGCAGTAGGCCCCTTGCACCGTCTCGCTGTCTCTCAACAAAAAGCTCCCGTCCTGTCCAAACTTCTCCAGCAGCTTCTCCGTGGCCGAGCTCCCAATTCTGCCATAGTAGATGGAGCGAACGAGGCCGCTCTCCATGTCCATGTCGCTTCAGGCGCAGGTGCCCATCAATGCTTTACAGTTGAAGGTGCGGCACCTTGTTGCAGCTCAAAAACGTGTGAAAGGTTATGAGGCAGGAAAAGCTTTTTTGGTTTTCACACTTTTCTGGTATGCAGAGGCAGAAAAGTGCAGAATGCATGTGATGTTTCTTTTTTTATATAACCACAATAAGGGGTTCATTCTGTGGAACAAAAAAAAAAAATACTGCTTTTGCTTGTTTTGCTTTGGAGGCTTTAGTGTTTCTTAATATAAGAGACTGCTACGAAAACAATCTATTCACACGTTTAAGCTTTTCCATTGATAGAGTCTAAGATTAACAGACGTATTTATCTTTGAATGAAAAGCAATGATTTAGTTATATATTTTTTTTGTGCATCTTGACAACATCAGCTGAACTTGTGGGAAAAAAAGAGAGGATTTAGGCAAACAGTTGTAAGCTAAAAACCAACCTGCAGACCCCACAGCCACAGCACCACAATAGTCGCTTCACACGCTTCACACTATCAGGACTTTTAAAATTAGGGGACTTCGCCTGAGCAAAATCAAGCGTCTAAGGCATAACAAAGAGTGAAAAAAGGCTTGGAAAATATTTAATACATTTCTACTTGGGTTTTTAGATTTTAAGTTCAGTTTTCTTTGGTCAGAGTTTGTCAGTTTGACACATTTTGATATATTTTCCCTGCCTACCTTCCAAACACTTCACTAAACCGATCAGATTAAGAGGACTTTCTTTTCAGGCCACCATACTGATTAGCGTTTTCTACTTATGAGGGGATTTTCATGTTAATGTGGATGTTTGCTTGTACTCGCCATGGCGGTTAAGAGTAATCTCTCTTCAACCTCATCTGTCTATCAGACACCTGAAGGTTTTTGGACAACGCAAAGAGCATAATGCTGTTACCACCATGTTTTTCTTTGGGTATTACTTTTTTTCTTGTAAGATTTAGTCTTATTTTGTTTGCCTAACATTTACCAATTTTCCCTTGTTGGAAATATCATCTAAACTTAACTCATTAAGAGGTGTAAAGATGATGTGTTTCTGTTTTTGAAAGGCTACTATGTCCAATTTCTGAGAGGTTTTCTCTGCTTTAACAGGAAAGGAAACATATTGATGAAATAAAAGTCTTGCATTTCCTTAGAGATATTTGGTCTTAGCACCTGAATCATCAAATCTTTCCAGTTTGGATCCAAAATCTGAGGTTCAAACGCTGTACCAAGTGTTTTTGATTGTGTTTTTTTCTTTTTTATCACTGCTTGCATTGTATTAATAAAAAAAAAAAAAAAAAAAAAAAAAAAAAA